GGCAAGGAAGATGCGGAAGATGGGAGGGGACGAAGACAAGGGGATGTTGGAGGAAGCCGAGGCGGACAAGGAAGGGTAGAGGAGAGCAGGGCAAGGAGGGAGGGAGAGAGAGAACGCGGCGTGAAGGATGTGGAGGATGTAGATAATGGAAAGATTGGGGAGGGTGGGGAGGAGGGAGGGTGAAGGGATGTTAGAGCAAGGAGGTGAAGTAGAGAGGGGGAGGAGTGAGGAATGGAGGAGGAGACGTTCTGGGGGATAAAGAGATGGTAGGGTGGGTGGTGTGGCTCTTGTAGGTGCTTCAAAGGGGGTCCTCAGTGTGAATCAGGGAGGGGTTTCACTTCATTGGGTGGGGTGGGGCCTGATTGGATGGGGTGGGGTGCGGGGGCTGACCTATTAACTCGATATATATATTTTAAAAACAAACAACTTACTTTTAAAATAGGCTCACTAAAACTGGTTTTAGTAACATCGTCAACCAAGCTTGTTGTTACACATCATTACAACGGACAGGGCAGAAGGGGGTGGGGTCCTCTTTCCTCGCCCCTCTGGGGTGGGTCAGAAAGTTAAAAGTAGCTGGTCGAGAAGTTGGAGGGGGGTGGGTAGGATGGTCCCCTACAAGTCAATAGCCGGAACCCTGCCATGGCATGATGTGAAAGGACTCTCATGCACGTCCGGCGCCGCTCTTCTAGTGACGGCTCAGTCCCTGAGGACCAGCAGCAAGCACGTGACCAACCGAGCCTCCGCCAGAGATCGATGCTCGAGTCTTGTGCTTGTGCCGCGGGAGGAAGGATAGCGGTAGGGGTCTGGAGGCCTCTTCTGCCATGCTGGCCCGCGGACTGGCATCTTGACGAGCCCTGCATGACCTGAGACATCACGACCAAACCATATGTAAGGAGATCACAGGAATGATGTTCAGCCTGCAACTCTTTCTATGATCCCTTGAAGCCACCGATAGAATGTAGAACGGCAGGAAGGAACAACTCAGCTGAACCCTAACGATACAGACAAGCATAACGCGTTGCTCTACACTAAACATTGAGCCATTCACCCTGACCCAGCAACACTGTAAGTATCTCAAGAGCCTTAAAGCAACATAACTTTATTCCCCAGACTCAAGCTGACATCTTACTGACATAGCACATTGCGGAAGTTCACGTACTCCTTGTGCACATGCTGCTTCACGGTGTACATCTCCTCTAGCAGCACCTGCCACCCCTTGTCACCCCCTCTCCTCCTCTCACCCCCTCCCGCCATCGACCTGGACCTCGCAGATGTGTCGTCGCAGGTTGAGTGTCTCGTCCCATTGCTTAAGCGGGATGAAAGTGCATGAGCCGTTCTTAGCGTTGACCGTCCATCCTACCTGCCCTCCTCCAGTCACTCCCTCTCCCCTCCTCCTCCGGTTCCCTCTTCTCTCCCCTCCTCTTCCGCTTCCCGCCAAGTCCCTCCTTTCCTTTCTCCTCTCGTCCCCTCCCTTCCCGCCCCCCCGTTTCTCCTCTCTCTCCCTCTTGCTTGTCGCACCTCAACACATATGCACAGGTCCCGATACCCTCCGCAAGCTCGAAGATCGTACCTCCTGTCATACCTGCCCTTCAAAGTCATCTCCTCCTCCTCTCTCTCCCCTCCCCTCCCATTCCTCTGACCTGTTCTTGATGCTCGTGATGTTCAAGTACAGCCCGTCACCGCCCTCCCTCCTTTGTGACTGT